ATAGTTAATGTAATTATGGTACACTATCAAAATTACCTTAATTCACATTTATGATTTATTAATTTTTATTTACAAAATAAAAATCTTTGATATTTGATGCATCATTTAGGGAACACACAAAAAAATAAAGATGTAACATAAAAGAAAGCCAAAATGTTGTGATAAAAAAAATAAGATGAGGATATTAGTCAAATTGTAGAACTCCAGACAATAAGGTTTGCAAACTTTTAGAGAAAATCTCCCCCCCCCTGTTTCAGATTAGATAGGAGTGGTTTGGTTAACTGCATATCAAGTCCATATAGATCATTTAATGCCAATATCTAATTTGGTGAGCTTTGGTACTCCCCAAGTGTACTGCTGGTAGTTTTTTTAAAAAAATATTTTCATCTTTTGAACCCAGTCTGAGTGCTCAATATTTGCCTGTAGCTGGGACCCTAACAGGTGCTACCACCCTGGACCTGGGAATAACAGCAATTAAGGGAGTGGTTCCACACTCCTCAAAACCTTCCAATCAGAGGCTTTGCAGCCGGATGTAGTTCATTGTCATGCACAGGATGATGATTAGATAGAAGACATAATTCTCTAGCATCAAAATCAAGATACTGAACAGCTGACAAAATCATATATATATATATATATATATATATATATATATAGATATAGATTTCAAACTAGCAGAAAGCTACCCTTTTCTGGACTATCTTAAGCATGTGCAAATTTTCCAAGCTGTAGCCTGCCCTAGAATGTAAGTTTAGGGATGTATTTTTAAAGTCACAAGCTTTTCAGTCATAGCAAATGTCATTACGTCACATGTAAAGACATACTATCAAATTTCAGTAGCCAGCACACTGCACAAGTTATTCAATAAAAGTAAAAAAAAAAAAAAAAAAAAAAAACTTCTATGGGTTTGTATTCCTATTAATAAAATTTCTTGCAAATTACAATGTAGATCATCAGTCAGTTCTAATTATTAAATTCTAATGAAGATTTTTTTTATTTGCACCAGACATACAGAAGAATTTAATCGACATAAGTCTGAAAAATTCCCTAACAGGTTAGTGGGTTACCTTTGATAATCAACCAATGAAGCATTTATTCATCTGCCACTCTAGCCTTTTATTTGCCTTCCTTTGCCCTAGTTATTGAGGTAAAAAAAATATAAAAGGATATTGGTCATTCATAAGCAATTATCAAGTAGTTATTTCTATCTTGAAACCAGAATTCAACTTGTGCTGAAAAGAAAAGGCTAACTTTAAACTTTCTTATATATAAAAAACAAAAAGCAATATCAAGTTACTGAAAATAAATTTAAAACAATCAGATAAATTATGCTTTTTTTTTGTACAAGTCTTTTTCTTGTGCAAACATTTTTTAAGTGATAGTTTTATAGCAATTACAGAAAAGTTTTTTTTTATTTTCATTATTATGCCCCCCCCCCCCAAAAAAAAGAAAGAAAGAAGCTATACAGGAACAGCAAGACACCATTTTAAAAATGAAAGTCTTCTTAACTAATTCAAGAATAACATTAATGAATCTTAATTATTTGCAATTTTAAGAGTAATAGATTTTTTTTCTCTCTCCAAAATATCACATTAAAATCGAATTGTTTGAAGAGTAAAAATTCACTTCAGTATTTATTGAAAAAATTAAAAATGGAAATATGCTTTTCTGGGTAAAAAAATGAAGTATTTCATTTCAGAAATAAAATCTATCATGTTCATATTTTAAATCCTATCTACCTTCCGAATCCAATTTAGATGCAGAACATTATTTAAAATTTAAATGTATTTTTCTTTTTTGACTGGCCCAATTCCAAAACTTACAAAGTTATGAACCACACCCTTCTCCTTGTACACTCATGAAACAGTTTGCAGAAATTATTTTGCCAATTTAGGAAAATAAAGTATCAATTTGCCATTAGTTGACCAATCAATAGATCCCGTCATCATTGTCTAGGAAGGTTATCTGGTTTTAAAAAGCCATGAATCTTCTTAAAAAAAAAAAAAAAAAAAAAAACAAACACTAAACGCAATAGGTGCTATAATTTGATAATTAGATATTGTAGTTAATAGTACCTATCAACTCCTTTTCTTTATAATAAACTAATAAAGAGAATAGATATTTTGTCAAAATCAACAGTCACTAATGCAAGACAATCCAACAAAATCAGGAAGCATGTTGTTAAGAAAAAGAAGCATAAGGTCCGTGTGATGAAAGCGGTCATAGGGAGAAATTTAAACTAATTAATACTGTAAAATTTATTGTAAAAGAGTAAGACTAATTTATGTTAAAAAAAAAAAAAAAAAAAAAAAAAAAAAAGAGAGAGACGAAAACATGATTGTGGTATGGGCCAATGCCATTTTTAATTATAGACAAGAGAAGACTGTCCTTTAAAAATTTTACATTCCTATAAAAAAAAAAAAAAAGAAAATTAGTATCATCCAATTTCCAAATGAAAAAAAAAAAAAAAAGAAAGACAATGAGAGAATCAATTCAAAGGTAATATTTTTTTAAGCGAGATATACACTTTGATTAATTAAGTTTAAGTAATTCAAATTGTAATCAATTGTACAATCTATTCAAACAAATCCCGAGTATTTAGTAATAGAAATGATTGCATGAGAAAGACAATTTCTGAAGTTTTTAAATTTTTTTTTAAATCAATGGGAAGCACAAACAAAACTAAAAGCTTTAAATAAAAAAAAAAAAAAAAACTTGAATATACGAATGACAGAGAGAGACCTATCTTGAAATGAGACGTTTGAAATGGAGGAAAAGTACATTTCGTTTTAAAAGAGTTAGAGATTAACAAATTGCCTAAGTCAAAGTGTGTATACTACTGAACTCAATTGACTACTAAATGTAAAATTTTGTTAAGGAAAGCATTGCATAAGAATGGCGTAACTTAATGATATCCAAATAAATAAGAAAGTCAAATTGAAAGTTTTCACCATAAAAAATTTAAAACCAACAATGAGAATTTTTAAAAATAATTATGCAGCAAGAGATTTTTTTTTGTTTTGAGATTTACAAGAGTTAAAATAAAATAAAAAAAAATCGGAAAAAAAGAAAAGCTATTAGCAGATTAGCTTTTCTCTTTTTGTTCACTTAAGCAGTAAAAGAATTTAAAAATATTTAATTAATTCAAAATCAACAGCCTATTACGAATTTTATTTGTAGACTAGAAAAGTAAATTGTTATCTGGTTAACCAGCAATAATAGTTTGGTCATATGGTACAGTCAGTGCCCGCTGCATAGCCTACTCCTGGGTTTATTTGACAAACTCAACGCGGCTGGACAACATCGTCAGTTAACCAGGTCCGGTTAGAGACTCATTTTAAGAATAAATGAGATTGAAATGTAACCAGGTTTTTAAAACAAGTGAAAATTCAAAATGTTACAAATTTAATACTACTGTACGTAGTACGTACTACAGTAAGTAAAATTTGTTTCCTCATAAAAAAAAATAAAAAATAATCGAAGTTAAGTACTATGTTTTAAAAACGTAAAAATCTATTTTAATTTATTAATAAAACTAAGGGACAAAGAAATTCAGAGTTCAGACTAAGTTTATTTACACAAGAAAAATTACGTATGTTTCGACGACACGTGCGAGTTAGAGATATTTTAAAAAGCACTTTTATTACTGAATTTTATAATGAATTGTAGATCTCAGTGATTAAATTGATTTTTTCTCAACAAAGTTAAACAACAAAAAAACAAACAAACCCAAAACGGGTTAGGCCATAAAACCCCCCTTTTAGTTGCATTAATTATGTACTTTTCCAGTTTATTGGGTATGGGGGAGCGGAAGGTTTTCTTTTTTAGACCTACGTCTTTAATATCCACGACCACTTAAACAGCACCTCTCTTCCCCCACCTCAGACAAAAAAGGGGGGGGGATTGCCTTAAGTTAGAATCTCCGTTTGGATCCTAGCAGAGCAGTCGGCCTGCTTTATTATGTTGATGAGCCAGTCTCGTCAATGTAAAAGGGATGGGCCATCATGCAGCCAATAAATATTACAACGACGGATAGAAACGTAGTACTGTATTAAATACACAATCTCCCATAATCATATTTTATGAATACATTGTTACTCAAGTATTTTTTTTAATTAAATACAAACTAAGTCGGAGCACCAAGTCCGAGGACTAAACATTCATTCAATTATCATCTCTCCTAAAACACAAAGAAATCACTTTATTTCCTCCATCCCCCCCTGCCCAATCAATAAAAATAGACATCCCCCCCCAAAAAAAACATCCCTGAATATGACGATTTTACTTTAAGAGACTTAAAAATAAAATTATTAAAAGAAAAAAAAAATAGGTGGGAATAAAACCGATTTTATGGGAAGGAAAAAAGTAACCAAAGAAAAAAAAATGTGGGGGTAGTACTTGTCACCATAAAAAATGATTGTCATGTATAATACTCAAACAAAATCAAATGATGGGTTGGGTAATCTGAAATCTTGAATTTGCACAACAAAAAAAATCTAGTTCAAATTCAATATCTTTTTCATATTGATAACTTAAGGTAAGGAGTTTTATTTTTTAAGCGTTAGTTCGTAACAAAGAAATAGTTTTTAGAGGCTGGGAGGAGGAAGGAATAGCAACTGTACTGATCAGTTGCTTCTTAATTTATGAAATTTTTTTTTTTTTTTTTTTAAAGAATACTAACTTTTTGCATAAGTTGTATTTTTATCTGAAAATACTAAGGGCTTGTGAAAAATAATAAGCCTTAAAAACTATGAAAGTAACAAAAGGTGGTGAAAGCAGAATTGGTCAGCAGCAGACATCTCTTTTTAAAGGGGGAATTATGTCCACAAAAAAAGTGAACTAACTCATGAAATGCAGCTTTGGACACGCAAAACAATATATAAAAATTCGAGTCCGGTTAACACTCAGTGTAGTTGAAAAAGCAACCATTTTTTTATATATATATAAAAATGCTTATATATCATATAATTGCAGTTTGTAAAAAGAAAAAAATTACAAACCTTTTTAACAAAATAGGAGCCGGGATTGCAGAGTATCCACCTCAAGCCAACACAGTAATGCACAGGAGCGGAATTACTCACACTTCCGGCGAAGCACAGCTGAAGGGCAAGGAAAGAGAAGATAACAGAAAGAGGGGTAAAAAAATTTTAAAAAGCGAGAGAGAGAGAGAGAGAGAACTGGACTAAGTCTTATTAAGGAGGGGTAAAGTTGAGAAAAATATTCACATAGAGAGGGGGAAGGCGACCATGATTTTGTACAAGAAAATAGTTCATACCTTTTCAAAAGGTATTAAATAAAAATATTGCTGTTACAGGATAACGAGTAACCCTAAAAAGAGATTGCATATCTTTTTAGTAATTACTAATGAAAGCTATCAATATTTGAGCAGTTTTATATTTTTGTCATCTTTTAAGTTACTGAGAATAGGTCAAGTTGATGAAAGGTCATATCCGGTGTGTGTCTACCATGTCTTATGCCGAAGAAAGAGAAACTTAAAAACCGATGCTACCGAAAGAAAGAAAGAAAAAGAAAGTAAAGAAAAAAGAAAAATTCTAAAAAAAAAAAAAAAATTGTCAACGGAATTTACCTACCACCTATCTGCCTGCCTACTGTTTGAGGTGAGGCTTCTTTCCATGTGTTTCTTGTTCCTGTGAAAGATAAGATGCTTACTTTTAGTTTTAAAATTAAGAGAAAAAAGATATCCAAATTAATTTCAATAATTTTCCATTACCTGATGAATCTTTAAAAAATGATTCTGGTCCCTAATTTTAATATCAATAACGGAACAATAAAATTAGTGGTCAGATTTTTTTTCACCTTGTAAATAAATATTTAATTAGTAGAATCATATTCTTAATCTTGTAATAAACAAAGTGTGCCCCAGTCATAAAAAAAAGAAAACAATTCTGTAAGGTAAGGAATTTTTGAGATGTGGAAAGAAAGAAGTTTTCGAGGGGGAAAGAGAATTTAAATCAGTTTTTTTTATGATTGAAGTGTAAAATTTTTAACACCTTTTTTATTTTTTGTTTTTAATTTAGCTACAAAAATTGCACGAAAAATTAAAAAAAAAAAAAAAACTGAAGACTTCGTCGAGTGTCCTATGAAAAAAAAAAAAGATAAAGAATTTTGCTGTTTAAATATTATTGTCCCCAATTATTAATTACTATTATAAAAAGATCTCTATTAAAATTTAAAAATAGAAAAATAATTTTCAAAGTGTACAAATTATTTATGATTTGAAAAAAATAAAGTTTTTGCACAAGTCAAGTGTACTAAACTAAAGTAAAAAAAAAAACATTGATCTTATATTTCTTTATAATTAATTCATAATTGTTCTGTTTTTCTTTTGGGAAACAATATAAGAATTGAGATCATTCTTGAATTCAAAAAAAAAAAAAAAAAAAAAACGATAACAAGTGGTAAAAATAACCCTAATTAAGAGGATTTTTTAAAGGCTTCATCTAGAATACGTGAGCATGCTGAAAAGAAAACTAAAAGTTTTTAGCACGACCAAGAAAGGATTCCAGAAATTTTTTTTTTTTTTTTTTTTTTTTTTAAAAAAAGAAAAAAGAAGACACTGATATTTGGTTATTTTGGTTTGAGATTTGGTCGATCCTAGAACTTTTCAGCACCCTCTCGTAATTAAGAATTTAACTACTTTTTTTATTAGTTAAAATTAAAAATAAAATATTTGAAAATGGCCATTTATATCCGCAAAAGAATCCGATAATATGAAGAAAAATATACAGAAAAAAACAAACAAAAATCTTAATTAAGATTTTTTGTTTTTTTTCTATATTTTTTTCATATATATATTATTTAAAAAAAAATTATAACATAAGTATACTTATGTTATAATTTTTTTATAAATAATAATTATATCTGCTCTACTTTGTATTGAGCACTCTATTAAGAATAGTAATTGTTGGTTATTGGAATTCATTCCGTATATACCAATTATATGAAATCTAGGACCAAGTTGAGAATAGTTTCTGTACTGTGATAAAAACTTAATTACATACTGTACATACACATTGCGTTTTATACTGATTATTTATTGAAAATTCCCTTTTTTCTTAATCAATCAAAAAAGTAACAAACATATTGCAACTGGTTCTTTGTGAATGTTTATCCAATAATGAGTTTCTTAAAGTCAAAGAAGATGATTTGATCTGGACACCTCATGCTTTTGCATTTTTGTAATTTGACATTTGACGAATGAAAAAAAAATTACATCTGCAAAATGTGACATGTGCGCTACACATGAGGAAAGTTGGAGAGTCCACTAGCTGATCAAATTAATTAATTCATTAACCTATCTCAAGCTTCATTTTTTGTTTGACAGATATGTTTTGTTTTTTTCAGATATTAAAAAAAAACAAAATGAAGTGATATTCAATAATTAGTGTTGCTCTCTAAGTTGATCATTTTATAACAAGTCACAAATTCTGACTTTTATTGCAGATAACAAATTGTATAAAGTACTAATTAAGTTTGACCAAGCTTTTAAGAACATAACAAATTCATTGCATCTTATTTTGAATTTTTTAACCACCAAAATTTTTTTAATGGGATATTTATGTGGTAAGTGAACGATGCCTTCCAAATTCTAAGCAAAGTATTAAGAAACGGAAAAATTTCATTAGAGCCAAAGAAAAGAGTATTGAACAGTTATGTAATATCAGTCCTCCCATATGGCAGTGAATTCTGGACACTCTCCTCACAGATTAAGAAGAGACTTGAAGTAATAGAAATGTGTTTCTACAGAAGGATGCTGAGAATACTATGGACTGAACATGTGAGTAACGATGAAGTTTTAGAGAAAATGGAAACAAAAAGCACATTTATACATAACATCACAAAGAGATAGTTGAAATTTCTAGGGCACACAATGAGGAAAGAGAGCTTGGAAAATATAATCCTCACAGGACAGATTGAAAGCAAGAGGAACAGAGGTAAACTATTCGTACTCTACCTAGTGTGCTTGAGTAAATAGATGCTGGAGCAAGGTTTAGGAGACATAACAAAAAGATAATTTATTAAGAGCTACAAAGGACAGGAAATTGTGGGGAATTATGATCATCAATGTCCTGAAAAGACATGGCACATAGAACAAGATGTGTTAAAAAAACAGTAATGTTGTTGCAGTGTGCAAATTACAGGAATTCTTGAGTATTTTTTGTTATAAGATATTAGGAACCCAGTTTTCAACTTATTAAATTAAACTTGGAGCTTAAGGAAGTTTATAACATAAAGAAGTTAATCTGATATCCAATACAGACATGTAAATTTTTTATGAAAAACAAATGATCCAGTAGCTTTATGTGTTACATGAAGACATTAATTTTTAACATAGATTCATCAGAGCAATTTTTAATTATTGCAGATAAAATAATGTCAACTTAGTTTTATTTTGGAGTCAAAAAGAAAGAGAGAAGGTTTGGTGTATGAATCTCATCTTTTGAGCAAATTATAATTTTTTATAACTTTTATTTGAAACATATTGAGCCAATCAATTTTCTGTTTGAAATTCTGGAATAAAGAGTTATCATTATTTACATTCAAACCAATATCCTCATCTTTGTGTCTTCAAGTGTATGTTAATCTGGGTATCCTTCAAGTAATTTCAAACTGATCCCTTTTTTTTTAATCTACAGGAGTAAGTTGTTCTTATCCCTGTTCCATGTTTAGGGATATCTCCTCATGTCCTTTTTTTTTTTTTTTCCTTAAGTACTGCTCAGTGATAGCTAGTTCTGTTTTCATTGAATCTGAACTATCTCATAAGACAATAGCTTAGAGGATGAAAGTGTTGTTACATGGATTGAAGATTACTTGGGTTGACAGAAAGCAGAAGACACAGAAGCTGAAAGGTTGTAACAATAAAGATGAGGACATTAGTACGTATGTAAATAATGATACAAAATAATTTTACAAGCATTATCATTATCCTTTCAACCCAATTTTGCTAGTTCATTTCATTGTTTTGTTTTTTAACTAATTTAGTGGTTCTCAACCTTTTTTTTTACCTATGGACTACTTTTACTCTTAATTTTTTCCTTTGGTTGATCCCCATAACCATTCAATGGAAAAAAAAAAAAAGAAGCTTATTTTTTACTAAGAGATAAGTTTAGGAATTGTATTATAGAAATAATAAATGTGTATATTTTGAAATAAAACTAATTCAATGAAAATAAACTTGTATTTAACAATTAGATTCTATGAAAAATTGATGTACTCTAGTAAAATAACTCATTATAAACTATTTTAAGATATGTAAGTAATCAATAAATTAAAAAAGTGCAGATTTATTCAATAAGGTCCCTGTGGTTGATGCTGCTCTGTGAGATTTTTACATTCAGCTCCATTGATGTCAATGATAGACACCCCTTTTCACAATGTCGAGTCTATTACAGGCTTTTGATAGTGAATGAGACACAGCTAAAACCTGATTCAACAAGGTAAGATGATGGAAAAGCCATAATGTAGAGCTGTGCTTTTTCCCAGAGAAGTGGATATTTTTTAGCAGTGTCATTTGTTTACCATATATTATGCTTCCCATCTTTGAATTTTGCTTGCAATATTTCATCACTGCAATTCAATGAGGGTCACCTGCAAAAAAATATCTACATCAGCAGCATTTAAAATTAATAATATTATTTATTATTAATATATTAAATTAATTTATATAATAAATTATAATTTTTATGTAATTTTCCTTATATATCTATAGCTATAATTCTCAAAATGTGTGCGTGCATGCGTGTGATTGGATGTTGTTTATGCATTTCCACAGTTTTCATCTGATTTTGATTAAATTTTTTTTGTTTGATAGATAATTCTTCAGTGGTGGTTTTGAGTCCAAATTGTTGGCGACAATGGTTCTCCACTTCTTCCTGTCCATTATAACTCTCAGCAATGTGTTACTATTTACTATCTGTTTTTGGATATATATCTTTCAAAAAAATGTTAATAAAAATAAATAGTTTAAATTATTACAATAATATTGTTTATTATTATACAGTTCCCTTTTCAGGGTGACCCCCCCATTCAAATTGTTAACCTCCATTTGGGGATGTGCCTCAGTTGCACCCAAATGTTGTTACTAATTATGATTTTTGATGGGCTGACTTTAAACTTAAACTCCTCCAATTAAAAAGCAAAAAATTCCCAGTAATGAAAGACCCATCAAAGACAGGTTATACTGTTAGTATACACAAAAACACATTTACTCACACATACACACCATATTTATATATAATATGTATATATATATCATATTTATATATAAAGCATTTTCCTGATGGCCTTCTCCTGATATATTAAAATATATTTTAAAATTGAACCCAATTTGAATATATTTTATATAATTTGAATTTTAAATCTTTTTAATTGTGATCTAACAGAATTTGAGATTTCCTGAAATTATTCCATTTCCGCATTTTATGCAAATTATAAATCATTTCAAATTTTTTTTTTTTTTTTTTTTTTTGTTTAAAAAAACATGAATTTCATCAAAAATTTTGGTGTCATTGACCAATGTAAATTTAAAACATTACAGATGAAAAATATATTTATATGTTTATGTAATGTTCATGATATATGTTAAAAAGTTTTTCAAAAAAATCAAAACATCTGTTATTGTAAAGTCCTAAAATCATTGTCCTTTTTCTGTTATATTTAAAAATATTTTTTAAATTTTAAAATTTTAGATTAAAAAAATTCCCATTTTATATATATATATATATTATTTTTTTACATGTTATAAAACCAAGGGAGCAATGGATGTAAAGTAATGAAAAATATAAAAAAATACTGGTGCATTATGGACCAATTTGATGACCAAATTGGTGATTTTGTGTTCACAATTTTAAAAGTGAATTTTATATATTATATATTAAATATTCTATTTAATTCGATCAAGAACAACTAAAATCACAGTGATAGTAAAACGATAATTGATAATGCAATATTATCTAAAAAGCCAGGATCGTATTCCTGAAGCATGTCACCTAGAATAGCAATTTATATATATATATGTGTGTAAAAAAAATGTGTATTTTGTTATCAAATAAATCCATTTTGATTATTTTTTTTGCTCTTTTTTTCATTCGAATTAGAGACGAAAAAAGCAGAATTGATTATCCACTATATCAATAAAGAAAATTTTTTCAATTAAAAATTTAAACCAATTTGTCTTATTCTTAAATGGATTATTCTGCATGCAAAATTAAATAATATTTTGATATATATATATAAAACTATATATATATATATATTTATTCATTTTAAATAGCTGTTGGTTGACATAATGCCTGTGCCATGCATGATACATTTTAGATGATCATGTATAATTGCTACATGACTAATCAATTTAAATTAAAATATTTCATTTTTTAATATTTAAAGGGCCAAATATTATAGATCCCGGTAGTAGTATTTAATATAGCTGGTGGGGAGCAGATTATTTTTCCCAAGGCA